CCACTCTATGAAATAGATTTTGTATTTCAGGCAAGGCCATGAGAGGGGGATAAAAAAGGGCATTGGGAAGGAACGACGCTGTATTAGAATTCCATAATAATGGGAAATAGGATAGAAACAGAAATGTCTATTAGGAGCCAAGTTTGGGGTAGGGAGGGAGAAAATGCCTACTGCATGTATGCTGTATTTACGACATGCAATTATAGTTCCAATTATATTTAATTCCCAATCTAAATTGTAAATCAAAAAGAGATTAATTGATCACTCATCCTCTAGTTCTAACTTCATCACAGAGTTGGTCCTTCATTTCCCCAGGTGATACATCTGTGGATTCAAACAACCACAGATGTCAGAGTGGTGGCATACTCCTTTATTCCAGCACTTGGAAGGCAGAGGCAGAAGGATCTTTGTAAGACTGAAGCCATCTTGGTCTGCCTAGCGAATTCCAGGACAGCTGGGGCTACTGAGAGACCCTGTCTCAAAAGGAAAAATAAATAAATAAAAAGAAAATTAAAAAAAAAAGTTCCATTCCAAAATAATCGTAAAAATTTGTGCTTGTATGGAACATGTACAGCCTGTTTTCATTCTTTTAAAAATAATACAGTGTGACAATTAATTACATCGAGTTGACATTGTACTGGGTAGTAAAAGTAATCTAGAGAGGATTTAAAGTATATAAGAGGGGCCAATGAAAAGGCTTAGCTGGTAAATGTACTTGCTGCCATTCTGACAAACTGAGTTTGAGCCTCAAGACCCATATGGTGAAAGAGAACCGACTGCCACAAATCCTCTGCATGTGCACCCACAAAAATGCATACTCATATCCACAAAATAAATGAATGAACCTACTAAGAAAGACTTTAAAGTATCCGGGAGAATGTATCCAGATTATACACAGATACCATACATAGACAGGACTAGAACATCCTTGGATTTCCATATCTTAGGGTCTGGAACCAGTCCTCTGCTAATGTCACAAAACAACTGTACAAAATGAAAGGCGGTAATAAAAGGATCAAAGTGATTGGAAGATTCTTGCTGAAATCAGGTAGGCTGTAACAGAGACAGTCAATTCAAGATGACATTTGAAAATAGAGCTCTACACTGTGGGAAGTGGATCTAGATAGTGTCATGGAACAGCTGAGAATCACTGATAATAAGAAAAAGGTTGAGCCTAGTGCTCCTCCTTGGGACAGAGACTGTCTGGAAGCCATGCCCTCCATAGAGGGGAGCCATTGCACTCTTAATGCGGGCATACCTGGACTGGAAAGTAATTCAGAGGTTGAAAGAATCTGTGGCTACTTATGGGATACAAGCAGCTTATACTATAACTCAGGTTGAAAGCCTTACTAGACGTGCTATGACTCCTTTTGATTGGCAAAATCTTTGTAGGGCTGTTCTTTCAGGGGGCGATTATTTGAATTGGAAATCTGCTTACTTGGAATATTGTGTAGAACTAGCAGCTGCTAATGCAGCCAATGGCCAGCCTGCATGGAATGTGGATATGCTTATGGGGCAAGGGGTTTTTATTAACAATCAGATTGGATATCCAGAGCAAGTATATTCTCAGATTAATGATGCAGCCCTTAAGGCGTGGAAGATGCTGATGGGCTCAGGTAACCTTAATGATAGTCTCTCAAAGGTCCTTCAGGGGCCAAATGAACCCTTTGCTGATTTTCTAGCTCGAATGATGGAAACTGCAGGAAGGGTGTTTCCAAATGTGGATTCAGCCATGCCATTGATCAAGCAGTTGGCATACGAGCAGGCTAATAAACCCTGTAGAGATGCCATCAGACCTCATAAGAATAGAACCTTAGATGTGTGGATCAAAATATGCAGAGATATTAATGAGCACTCCATTCAAGGGCAAGCCTTGGAAGCTGCAATAGTTGCAGGTCTGAGAGGTAAAAACCTATCAATATCAAATAGGCGACCTAAGCAATGGCCCGGCTGTTTTAATTGTGGACAATTTGGCCATTTTAAAAGAGAATGTCCTAATTCCTTAATGACAGCCACTAGACCTATAGATATGCTTCCTAAGTTGTGCCCCAGTCAAAAAGGTAACCACTGGGCAAGGGAATGCCGATCGAGATTTGACTTTAAAGGCAATTCTTTACCTCTCAATCAATTGGGCTCTAGGTCAAAAAACGGGAGAGTGGGCCCTGCGCCTCAGGGCCCTCAAATATATGGGGCAATGCAGACAACCCCTCAACCATGGCCGTTGATGCGATCTCCCACGCATCAAATCCCCATATCCCGGGGGACGTGGGTACCAATACTGCACGTAGAGCAAGCCCAGGGAGCGCAGGATTGGATCTCTGCGCCACTTCCAGACTTGTATTGACACCTCAAATGGGAGTTCAGGTGGTGGAGTCGGACTTTAAAGGTCCGCTACCGCGAAACACAGTAGGATTATTAATTGGCCAAAGTTCCACTACTCTAAAAGGATTAATAATCCACCCAGGAGTCATTGATTCGGATTATACTGGAAAAGTAGGAATTATGGTGTCCTCTCCAAGGGGGATAGCTCTTATAAACCCTGGAGATTGCATTGCCCAAATTTTGATTTTTCCCAGTTCTCGTGCAAAATATCCTTCAAAGCTACACGTTTTACAAGGTATTTTCTGTTGCTATTGTGTGTTTTTTAAACAATGGGATGGATACAGTTGTCATTTACTAAAATGGAGAAAAGACAAAGACACGAGTCTTAATATGTTAAGAGAAATTTTACTCCTTTGGGAGAGTAAATGAGCCTATTTCTTCTTGCATTCTAAGGTGCATCACTCCACTACCAGAAAAGTCAATGGTGGAGACTGATGGTTAAAAAAAAAAGAAATCAAAAATAGCAGAAATAGTAACAAAAACAAAACTCTCTCAACTGGTGACAATCATAAATCGCTAATCCTAACAGAACAGAGTAGAAAATTTTAGTTGTACCACTTATACCAGTATCCACTATTTTTCCATAGTCTTAGTAATAGAATTCCCAAGTTCATTTTGTTATCTCATTATCCATCTAAAAATTTACCACCTTTGATTATAATAGCAATATATTAAATTGCAAATATTTTATTTCTTAAAAGATGACATTATATACACATACCCAGAACTGTGTTTTTCCTTGGCTTCCTCTTGACTGAAAGACAGAAAGATTATAGCCTGGACTATAAAGAGGAAGCAAATTGTGAGGAAATTAGAACCAGCTGTCCAGACTGATTCCCTGATAACTTCATGCAAATGATCTTCCCTGCAGTCCTGATTCCCTCCCTCCTAAATTATGTTAGTGAAACAGAAAAATTTTATTTACAGTATAGCATTTAAAAGAAATACACTCACCCAGATGATGCCCTTACTAGCTAATGCATGTTTGATAAAAAAAAAAACCTTACTTACCCATAACATTTTTGAAATTACTAAAATCATGGGTAACAAGCCATTGAATATAGTGTACATGTCTGTTTGTGTTTGTGTATGAATATGAATATGTATATGTATATGTATGTAATATGTATATGTATGTAATATGGGCCCAAAACAACTGAATAATGGAGTGGAAAAGGAACTGTCTTTCCAACTGAGATAAATTGGTAGTATTGACTTTACTATGTTTAAAGGAATGTAAAATTAAGTACAAGAGAGAGGAGGGGAGGAGTTGGTGTGGTATAAATGATCTCCAAAAATCTTTCTGGATCAGCATACTATGACTATAATTTCCAATTCAATATATTTGTCTGTGTGACATCCTGTAGGCATACCTGGAAATTCTGTAGGTTTGGAATTAGCTGTCGCTGTTGTTGTTGGCTATATATGATCCAACGTAAATAAGACATGAGCTTTTTGTTTGTTTTCCTTTGCTAGGAAATGACAGCTACATACCCAAGATGAATTCGATGGGCACAGCCATGCAATCTAAGTTTACACTTGGTTCCTTGCCAGATAAATAGAAACAAGCTGACTTCACCAGAATGGAAGAAAAGTGAACAGGAAGCTATTTATGCAAGGGAAAGCTTAAGCTACTACAAGATTCTCTGGGGATTCTGTGATTCATTTTGTTTCCTGGTGGTTACCACTTTCTAGTTTTGACAGATGTGGTTTTTTGCTTTTTTTCTTAAGCTCATTGGGCTTGCAAAGGAAAGCACTAAAGGGAGAAGGTTAAAGAAACAACTCAGCACCTACAGGCACAGATGCTTTACTGTAATTGAGCGAAAACCCTAGGACTTCCTATGAACAAATTCTTTCTACTCTAAGACACTGGATTATTTTTATTTTTATGCTTATAATTTCTTAAAGTTCATGGCCAAAAATGATAAACTTTTTATGTCTTTTTAATGGGAATGTTGGTATAAGAAGTTGTTATGAAGAAGACAATGTAATAAAGAAGTCAGATGTCAATGTATTCTTGCCATTGATTTGTCCTCACAAAGAACGAGACACCCAGGCATCCTAGTATCATTAAGTGAGCATGAGGAGTTGCCTGAATTTAGAAGCAAATGTCCCAAGGTAGCCCCCCAAGTTCTATATGTATGGGGAGAGGAAAGGACTCTTCTGGACTAAATGGACCCATGCGATAAAGGAAAAGGTCTTGCAATAGGTAATTAAGATTAAATTAATCATCTTCTTCTCATTAAGCATATTGTTTTAAAGAGTCATTAAATATATTCAAATGATATTGCATTGGATTAAGAGGATTAGTGCCTAGCCTTAGTTCTTTGTCTGCTAAGGACTACAGCTGAATCAAGCATTTTACTAAGAACCTTCCCTGGGAAAGGAAAAGCCTTTGTCTTATTTTCTTCACATTTCCTATAAGGTGGACAGACACATGCCTGGGAGTGATGCCAGTCTAGTCAACCTGCAGAAATGAAGGGCAGCATTGAGGGTGATGTCTGTTTTTTCTCCTAATACCTTTTCCTGGCATATTATTGATTTTTAACAAGACACACGAAGAGGAGATATCAGGAACAATACTGGTGGTGTCCACTTACTTTCTTTTTCTGGAAAACATGGTCTTAGCCATCTGCCTGGTCCCCTTCACCTAGATCGGAATCACAGTGATGCTGGATGCTTCTGCTGCTCCTACCATTAAGAAATCCCACCTGCAGTGCCCCTCTTCAATGAGACAAATCCGGTAAGAAAGTGAAACACTGTCGTGCAGTCGTTGCCCAGTTTCTCTTGCTGGCTGCCTCAGACCTACTGCAAATCTAGAAATTTATCTTTAATGGAAATACATCTTGGTGTCAGTGCCTGTGTCTAGAAATAGCACTCACTCATCAGAATAAAATACCTCTAGCTAACATCCAAAAAGTCAGGAGCTTCCCTCTCAGACATTGTGTGCTTATTCATATTTACAAAGCAAATAGTTGAATGTTTCGCACATTGCTTCTCAGGGATTGTGTTTATTCAATGAGTAATTCATTTGTTATTAATAATGATACTTGTTTACAATTCCTTCGAATTTTTAGTTGAAAGTAATCTAAGCAACAACTTTTCCCGTCAATTTTATGTAGGACAATCTATTGATAAGATAGTATCAAAAGGCATTGAAACAATGTTATCTGTTGAAAATAGTTTTCATATATTTAAAATATTTTCCTGAATATAGACTCATTATCATTATTATTTTCCCATTAATAACCATGAGATGCCTGCATATGTAGAAAGGAGATATCTGTCCATTACAGTAACCTGGGCATCATGATTGATTTGCCTGGGACTTTATAGGTTTTAGCTGAAATTGCCAAATCTTCCTAGCTTGCAAGGGGCAAGATCAATCACTCTTCTACACAAAGAATGTCCTTGGAAAAGTCTTCCCTTACTTATTTCCAAAAAAGACCTAGTCAGTAAATGACAGATATTTCACAGATTCCCCTTATAATCCTGAATATTTATGAAACACTCATCATAATATCAGGAAAGAAATCACAAACACTTGAGAAATATCTTAAGAAATCTCAGGTTTAATGACCCTAACCAAGAGAAGGGAGGACTACATTCCTGATTCCTGATTTGCTCTTTAAAATGTACCTCTTACGTTTTCCTTCCATTCTTCTGCTCCTAGACCGCAGATCTAAGATGATACAAGGTTTTGTTGAGTTTAAATCCTTTCTGCGTCCTCTCCAAGGAAATTAGCTAAGGGACTGTTTGGGTAAAGTAAGGTTATACCAGGGTTTATGTGTGATTTTTTTTTCAGATTTCTTATAACATTTACATAATATATTTTATAATAAATGGAAAGTGCTTAAAATATATTCTATCATTTAAAGAAATAAATTTTCTCATTTGTTTTATAGAGGTTTAGAGAAGGAAAATACAGGTCATCAAAGAACTATTTCATCACACTGGCCCACATCCATGGCAGAGTATCTACAGAGAACCCTATAATACAACTACTGTAATCATTAACTCACATCAGCTATACTTCCCTGCACTGGCCCAAACAAGACTGGACCCATCAATAATCAGTCAAGGAAGAGGGAGGGGCTCACTGGACCCTACCCTTTACCTCTGGATTATTGGCTATTGATAGATTCTGGGAAAGGTAGAGTCACTGTCTTTAGTTGTGTAATTCACTGCTGAGCCCACCAGGCTCCAAAAAATAACTGCAAACCCTTGGTCACACAGATATTCCTGGTCAATCTCAAAACAAATGAGTAGACATGAGCATAGGAAGAGACTTGTGGGGAAGAGGGAAGGTAGACAGGGTGAGGAAGGCAGGAGGTAGGAGTGGTCAGTATGTGAAAGTATAAAAATAATAATTAAAGTTAAAGGTTTTTAAAAAGAAAAACCTACCATGCACACTTATTGTGTGTTCTTTAAAGGCCAACAGGGGAGCACTGATTCTTTGTGGTAAGAAAGAAACATTTCCCTTAGGTGAAATGCCTCTTTATTTCATTTTAAAAGAAGTTTAGAGTTTATGTAGGTCAGGTTTCCCCCAGAGGAAACCCTGGGGTTTCTCCTATATGAGGCCAGACATGCTTGTTTGCCACTTCACTGTGTCTTAAGTGATGAGCCCCTTTAGGCCACAAGCTAGAATATGATTTGTTAAAATTTATATGTGCTGTTTTTGCTCTGCAAGAAAAATCCTCAAGGGCACTGAGGGCTGAGTAAGCCACCACTGTACTGCTCAGCCACTTAGTCTGAAATCTATGCTTCTTACCTAAGTAACAGACAGCCAGTTTCTACACTGGTCTCAGCACTCACTCATGCAAATTTTAAAGCAACTGACAAAAAAATACAGAAATAACTATATAGACTAGTTTCCAGAAAAAGAACCCCAGAATTCTCCATTCCTTTGCTGGAAATAAATATCAAGAGGTTCTTTGCTCAGTATCCAGCCTGCTTACCAATAAACAATAATGAAATAGTTCATTGATAAATCATTATTTTATATTGTAAGAAAACTAACAAAATGGACATGAAAGGAGGACATGGTCTTTCTTTGAAAATTATGCAGTGGTCTTAGACCCACTACTTTGCATTCATATGATGCTTTCAGGCATCTAGCCCCTTAATCAGAATGTGAACTATCATTATTCAGGTTTATGACCTTGCTTTCCAGTCAAAGATACCTTTTTTTACTCGAAATATTTTTAAAGTTTTCTATCCAAAGACTTCCTTTATTCTTAGAGACCCGGTAGTGGGGAATATGGACAAAGAAAGTTTTGACAAGTGAAAATGTGTCTCTTTGCCTGAGGAGGTGATCTGGCATCCTGGTGATACAGAGTGGATATCCAGATTTGTTGAATGTTCACGCATTCTTTCATCAATTTTATCGAATGGCTTTCATGTACAAGTCTTGGGTTAAGGGCAAGATCCTATAGGAAGGGCAGACTGAAAATGCAATAGATGCTTAAAAGTTGTCATCCTACTTATTTTATAATGGTTTACTATAATCCTGCTGTACTTGGGTTGTTTAGGTCTGTTATTTCTCTATTGTAGAATTCCTAAAATATGATATACCATGTAATGTCTGTCTATATTAGACCATAGCGTATTTGTCTATTTATTCATTTTCGCATATATGCACTAAGTGTAACATTTAATTGTAGGTTTATGTGAGTTAATTTTAATATTTTATTTTATAGCAAGCTTATAAATTTCCTGAAAATTTGGCAATTGAGTCTTATAAGCTTTTCTGAACAGATTTTAGCAGTCTGCAGTTTATTCTTAAGGGTTACTGTGCCATTCTTACAGCATCCTAAACCCAGCCCAGCTCTAATGTAAAAGGTCACTCAATATAGTCATGGAAACACAAATCCAGTGTTACCAGATTCCTGTTATTTTTCAAACAAAGCAGCAACTACAGATTTTCATATGAACTTTTGTAATTTTCTGTACCATATGAACTCCGAAACACGTCTGCAGATCAGCTCTGACACAGATCCCATTTCCTCATTTCACAGATGAGGAAACAGCCTGAGCTCAAGATGTGGCAGAGAAAGACCCAGTTGAGACTAGGAGCTGTCACACCTCTAATAGGACACACTCTACAGCTGTCTCTTCCATGAAGGAGTTCACTTGCACAGCGTTTCCCTTTATAGACAGAAGGTGTTAAACGAAGATGCCATTCATTCCCTAGTTCAGGCATTTAGGAGCTGTTCAGACAAAGCCACAGAGCTCTTCATTCTAACGAGACACATCCTAAGACTTCTCAAAGCATCAGGGCTCTGGAGATAAACATTGGATCCACGATTGTGAAGGTTTTCTTAGCGATCAAAAACTGAGGCAAAGGATTTTCCTGCTACTTTAATATTTCTTGAATTTACATCTAAATAGCCTAACAGAGCATTTCTATTGCTTTTTTTATTATTATGTGTATGAATGTATTACCTGCACGTAGCTACGTGTACCCATACCATGCAGTGCCCGTGGAGGTCAAAAGACAGTGTTGGATCCTCCAGAACTGGAGTTCCAGATGACTGGAAGCCTTCATATGGGTGCTGGGAATACAATCCAGGTCTTCTGCAAGAATAGCCAGTGCTCTTAATCACTGAGCCCCTGGATTTTACATTTTAAAGAAAAATAATATCTATAAAAAGTTGTTCTCTAAAAAGAGAACAAAAATTTGCCTACGTGACCATAGACTGTAAAGTGGGCTTCTGTGTGCATTCCTAATGGAGTTTGAATAAGAAAAAATATCAAGCTAACAACAGGACATGCTTCTAGAATAAAGAGACCAAGCTAACACGGTGAAGCAATCTGGCAAGTAAAGTGTAGTGTAAACCATTAATTAATTAAGAAAAAAAAACTGTTAGGGAGCTGGGAAGATGGCTCAGCGGTTAAGGGTTAAGAGCACTGACTGTTCTTGCAGAGGACCCAGGTTCGATTCCCAGCACCCACATGGTGGTTATGCACCATCTTCACCTCCAGTTCCAGGGGAATAAATGTGTATTGGTATATTGGTATATCTTAACTGGGATTGCACGACACGGGTGTACTCACATACATGCAGGCAATACACTCATACACATAAAATAAAAATAATAAATAAAATAGTAAAAAAAAAAAACCCACTGAGGAATAGAGAGCTGGCTCATCAGTTAAAAGTACTTGCTGTTCTTGCAAAGGACCTGGGTTTGGTTCCCAGCACTTACATGATGGGCCACAACTATCTACAATTCCAGTTTCATGGAATATAACATCCTCTTTGGGCTTCCACAGGTACCAGGTATATACTTAGTACACATACACACATACAGGCAAACATTTATATGCATAAAATAAAAATAAATACATCTTTTTAAAAACATGATAGCATTAATGGATTCTTGTGTTGAAAAGATAGCAGTGATCTTAGTTATGCATTATATTTTCCAAATTAAGTTTTAATCCTTATACCTATTCTACGTTTTCATGTATGATTATAGCATAGACATCATTTTGTACTTTGTGTGTGTGTGTGTGTGTGTGTGTGTGTGTGTGTGTGTGTGATTGTTGGTTGGTTTTTTTGGTTGGTTTTGTTATGTTATGTTGCATTTTCTTCAATTAAGTAATTTTCACATTGTTTTATAGATATAAAGAGTTTTGTTTTCATCAATTTATAAAACTTCAGCACATTAGAAATACGTTTCCTCTTCTTCAATCAGTCCTAATTCTATTTAATTTTTTTGCATTGATAGGCCCTCAAAGACCCTCACAGTTCCCTGAAACCACTCAAGTTGGACTTTCCTGCCTCCAAACTATCATTTTCTTGGTCACAAACTTAGTGTTTCTGACACTGGAAAGTGTAGGAAGCACAGAAATGTGGCTCTTTGGTTGATTCAGGAAGAAAATGTCCTAAACCAAGAGGAAAAATCATGACTGTTACAAAGATTTAAACTTACTTTTTAATTTTATCTTTTTATTGAATTTTTGCAATTTTCATACAATATAGCTTCATTGTATTTGGTTCCCCTCCCCTCTCTGCATCTACCTCCCACTGCCCCCACTCAATTTAATGTACTCTCATGTGTGTGTGTGTGTGTGTGTGTGTGTGTGTGTGTAATACAGCCTATAGAGTTTGATTTGTGTCCCAAAATGTCCTTCAATACGGGTCCATCCACTGGGCCCAACAAGAGTTCCATCCCAATAAGAGACTGTCTCTTCCCCTCCCAGCAGCCATCAACTACTAAAAGTTCCTTAAGTTGGGTTGGGGTTTCTTACCCACTTCCCTATGACTGTGCTGGAATGTTATCTGGTTTGGGCTTGCATATTTTTTAATGTCCATAGTGTTGCATGGGAAAAGGCAGAGATTGAGAATGCTGGTACTTCTCACCACTCATCAAAGAAGCTTCTTTTTTCAAGAAACAGAGACTATTACAAAGTTCCAGAACTGGCCCAATGAAGAGAATAAGTGTCTGTGGAGTACCCAGCCCTAAGTGATACATCTACAATGCAACCTCTACACCTAAGGCTTAGGGAACATAGCAGAATGAAGGGCAGAAAGACTATTAATACATCTTTCAATTCTCACCAGTGAATCTTCCTCATGCAACAGGTGATTAATCCAGAAAACCACAACTAGCCAAAGTGAAGAGAATAAGATACCGCAGAGTTCATATCCCTGGGAAGGGCACCCATATCAAATCTCTACCACCCAAGACTCAAGGACCATTGTGGAAGAGGAGATGGAAAGACTGTAAGAATCATGGGTGATGGAAGACCACAAGGAAGCAAACTTTTTCAGGAGGCTGCAAAGTTGCTCATATGAACTTACAGCAATGGTGACGGCATGCACAAATCCTATGCAAATTTGATCAGATAAGAAACCAGCATACAACTAGGGAAATGGGCAGGAGGCGTCAACCTTACTTAGCAAAGGAACGATTAGCAGCCGATCACTCCTGGGCCTCTGAGGGAGAGTTGGTCTTCTTTAAGTGAGTGATGTTAGAGAGAATGAAAGCTTCCTGTGGATGAATTCACACTGAGGGACTTGGTACACAAACTTGGCTCCATAGGCCTTAACATACATAATAGAATGCATGAAATCCATTAGGGGGATATGGGGCGTGCAAATACGGGAGGGGGTCTAAATATGATCAAGATGTATGATATTCTCAAAAATTCAATAAAAAATAAACATTTAAAGAAAGAATGTTGGTACTGTGTTATCTATAATATGTAACACAATATATAATTGTATGCATTATAAATAGTATATCATTGTGTTTTATTGTAACAATATAGATACTAAGTCAGAAGCTTTCAAACCAAATGCCTGTATTCATGAGGTATAAGCCTCCCTAAGGGTGCATGCAAGTTATCTGGGAGGTGTATAGCCATGCATAGTCTTTAAATAATTCCTTTGTTAATTTTAGAATATTTTTATTATTCCTCAGAGAGGCAATTTTAAACACTTTTTTTCCAGAAATTTAAGCAATTTCTAGATTCCATTCTTTATGACCTCTTTGTTTAAACTGATCCACCTGAAAACTCGCCTGCAGTCTCCTTTATCACCTCCCTTTAATAATTGTTCTGTCACACCTGGGAAAATGTAGGCATTTCCCTTCCTAATACTTCTGTGTGTACTACACTTGTGTGTAATAGTTTCCAAGGTACAGAGACATAATTACAAATATTGTGGTTGGGGTAGTAAACAACTCCAGTATAAGTAATGTATCCTTTCCACTCTGGCTGATTTCCTGCTTTTCTGCTTGCAACAGAATTGAAGGAAGAACCTAATTAATTTGTTAGGTTATAAGTCATAAAAATTGTTCATAATTCATCATACAATATGACTTTTAAAAATAAGTCAGAAGGAATTTAGATAATTTAATTACATTTTTAAACATGTCAAAAATTTTTCTTCAAATTCAATATACTTACACATATATGACCAATATTTTTTAATATTTTGGATCTATAAAATCAAAACCTAGAATTTTTGCAAAACCTACTTTCATTTTTACAATGAATAATGTCCATTTACTAATACATAAAATAATTGGGGAAAATGTAGCACAGTTTCATTAACAAATTCATTTCTGCCAAAATTTTATTCTTAAATTAATAGGAATCAACATTTAAATACATTAAGTTTTGTTTCATTTGTAGTGGTCATGTGAAATAAAAAATTAATTTCAATGTATAGACATAGTTTCTTGAAGAAATGTTTGTATGATATGGTAGCAAAATTTTTTTTATATTTTATTTATTATTTTTATTTTATGTGTATGCATGTATTGCCTGAATGTAAGTACACCTGTGTGGTGCAGTGCCCAAGGAGGTCAGAAGAGGGCATTAGATCCCCTGGAACCAAAGTTACAGACTGTTGTTATCTGCCATGTGGAGGCCGGGAACCAAACCCAGGTCCTTTGCAAGAACAGTCAGTGCTCTTAACCACTGAGTCATCTCTCTGGCCCCTGTAATAAAATTCTATGGAAAAAAAGAAATGGAAATACAAGTTCTAATTAAATAATGAATAATATAAATTTTCTGATATTAAAAGAAAATTATTCATATATTTTAAAGAACTTGCTATAGGTTCACTGGATACATTAAAGGAAGAATGTTCTTTTAAATCATCATCCAAATAATTTTTTATTTATGATAAAATAATTTTAGAGATGTTTATTTAAATATGTAAAGGGTAGTGCCTAGATTTCCAAAATTCTTTTTCGAGACACAAGCAGTAAATCATTTTGCAAAGTACATGAAATACAAGGAAAGTGAAATGAAATAAGCACAGACCATCTCACTGCAAGTCAGAATAGCCTCTTGCAAGAACAGGTGCATGTGTATCCAACTGTGGCCAAGAGAGCATTTCACAGCAGGCTCTGTGTTCAGTGTTTGGGGGATTCTTAATTAAGATTTATCCTTTCCTCCAGTGGATGAACTTGCACTAAAGGATATCCGGGTACAAATATTCAACTGGATAGGACTTAACACATATGACAGAATGCATGAAATCTGAGGGGGCCTACGGGGAGTACAGATGGGGAAAGGGGGTTAAATTTGATTAAGTTCTATTATATGAAATACACAAAAACTCAATAAAATATATTCACAAAAAAATTTTAAGTAAATAAAATTTATCCTTTCCAGTCTCATGAAGAGTTATGCTTCTGAAAAGACATTGAGTGACAGGTCAAATATTTGTATCAAAGACTATTATTACCAAAGGAGTAATTTTCATGTTTCCAAAGTTACATCTTCATTTTTCTTTTTTCAAAAAGGTAGCTAGCTTTTATTAAATGTATTATTTTCTGGGAGGAGGAGCTCTTCTGAGAAATTGGTATAAATGTGAACTCTTACATTTCAAATCAATTGAATCAGAAACTCTGAGCACGAGGCCTGGGAAACCAGATGATCTGAATCCATGCCAATGAGAATCACATTTACCAACATCTGGGCTAGCGCCTTGGACAGAGTGGGCATTTGATGAAAGGTACCTCATGTGTGTGTGTGTGTGTGTGTGTGTGTGTGTGTGTGTGTGTACAAGTGTGCAGAGGCCTGAAGTCAACCTCAGATATTGTTCCATAGGAGTTGTTGACCTTGTTTCTGTTTTTTGAGACAGGGTTTCTTACTGACCTGGAGCTCTACCCTTACAACAAGCAAATGTTGGCACATCTTTGGTTTAATCTGAACTAAGAAAATGAGATTTTATGTGCTTATTTCAGATCATGCCACATTGAACACAGATGGCTAAGAAAAATAAAAATAACCAGAAATAGATGCATCTTAAAATTATTCTTTCTTTCTCTTGCGGGAACAGCGTACAAGAAACCAAAATGAGGAAGGATGACAGCAGTGGGCCCTGAAACATGAGCAACTGCTGCACATAGAGGAGAACGATTTCTCCGTGAGGCCTGGATTTGGGGGTGAGCACCATCGCCACAGACTGCATTAAAGCACATGACACTGCTGGGTGGAATTGAAAATCTGAGGCAGTTAAGATCAAACTATTAGTAAAGGCTATCAGCTAATAAATAAATTACAAAAAAAAATTGAGACAAAGTCTCCCTGTAGCCCCAGGTGACCTGGAGCTCTCTATGTAGACCAGGATGGTCTCCATCTCATAGAGACCCACCTGCCTCTGCCTCCTGGGTGCTGGGATTAAAGGTGTATGCCACTGTTCTTGGATAAATTATGAAATTTTTAAATACTTGTGTGATTATCTTCTCTTGTATGAGAACAATTGACAATGTGTCCAACTTTTAAGTTGACCTCAAACTCTTTTTGCTATTATTCACACTCTTGCAAGTAAAACCATTCAATAAATAGAGAATGGATCTATTTGCCTAATTAGCAATTTATTGTTTCTATTATAAACTGCGAATTTGATACATGGTAATTACAAACCCTTACTTTTAAATATTTTATTACTTTTATTTTATGTGTATGAGTTTATTGCCTTCATGTAGGTAAGCGCACCCATGTCATGCAATGCCCGCAGAGGACAGAGGAGGCCATCAGATCCCCTGGAACTGGAGTTACAGACAGTTGTTAGCTGCCATGTGGCTGCTGGGATTCGAACCTGAGTCTTCTGCAAGAACAACCAGTGTTCTTACCACTGAACAATCTCTCCAGCCCCTAAACTCTTACTTTTTTATAATTTTTTACACTGGGAGGGGCATCATGGTGCATGTGTGGAGGTCAGAGGACAGCTCAAAGGACTCTCCTTATACGATGTGGGACCCAAGAATCAAACTCAGGGCTTAGTGGCAAGCACTTGTACCTGCTGAGCCATCTCACTTGCTCTCTTGTTGACTATTATAAGCTAGGGTGCCTAGTTTTGATGGAAGAACTACAGTAATGTCAAATGCCATGTGCCCTTTGAACCTTCTATGGAGTTCATTTTTTTCTTTTTATAGATTTTTTAATGTATATATTTTTATTTTATGTGTATGAGCACCTGCATGTGTGTAAGTGCACCCGCATCATGCAATGCCTGCAGAATTCAGAAGAGGGCATTGGATCTCATGGAACTGGAGTTATGACAGTTGTTCGCTGTCATGTGGGTGTTGGGAATCAAATCAGGGTCCACTGCAAGAGCAGCCAGTGCTCTTAACTGCTTAGCCATCTCTCTAGCCCCAATAGCTTTTTAACAATTAGAACTGATTTTTAAAATTAAGCACTGTGTTAAGCCCTTTCATGAACTTTACTATTCAGCTTCACAGTCCTGACTGGCAGGCACCAGGGTGTCCCTTAATATTCAGTGTGGAAACTGAGGCTTAAGGAAGTATGAGATTTGCCAAAGACCAAGTAATAAGTGGTGGAAGCAAGATGCAATGGCCAGTGGGGATGGCGGAGGAGACCCTGGGAGAGGAGCATGTTGGAGCACAGTGTTCTTTCCTTCAGATTCTTCTGCATGGCTGCATCACTGAGGTGCCGTGTTTTCCAGGGATGTGCATAGAGCATGACCTCATCCAGCTGAACTGAGCCCTTAGAACCCACCTTCTTATTTGTTCATGAAATCAAAGTCTCACTCCCACAATTCCCAAACTGACAACTTTTCTGCAAATATGGAAATAAGGGGAATGCGGTTGAGGTAAAAGCAATGCCCACTGGCAATAGAGCAGGCACAGAGTTATGATGAATAACTAGTAACTACTGAGAGTTGAAGGAAACTTAATGTTCACATCATATTATGCTTACAACCAAGGGAAGCACGGCAGGCAAGTAGCTACCATAGGGATTTAATGTGCTAACCAAAGGAAAATTAAATGTATTGAATAGCTATTATATTGAGAGCTGGGGTTTTTTGTTTGTTTAATTGGTTTAGTTTGATTTGATTTTCTTTCTTCTTTCTTTAGCGTGTGTCAGTGTGTGTGTGGTGTGGTGTACATGCATGTCTATAAATGTTCATTTGTGTGGGCCCACATATGTGTGCCAGTGCAGGTGCACATGTCTATGGAAGCCCAAAGCTGACTTCAGGAACCTTCCTTGATAGCTCTCCACCTTATTCATTGAAGCAAGGTCTCTCAATTAAACCCCAAGCTCACTGGTATGGCTAGTCTAACTAAGCAGCCTACTCGGGGCATTATGGGTCTCTGCCTTCCCAGTGCTGGAATCACAGGTAGGCTACCATGCTGACCCAGCAGTTATGTGGGTTCTGGGAATCCAGTATCCATGCCCGACACTTCCAAAGAGCTCTTTCCCACTAAGCAATCAGCCTGGCTCCTGAATTTCTTATTTAATTTCCTTGTAACCATTGGGCTGCAATTCTAGGGACTTGACCTAAATTCCATTTCCTTAGTGACTCAGACTATACTGGGCATCAGAAGGATGGGGAGAGCTCTTAGTCAGGAGCCCAGCCCCGTCTCCAGCATTCCTGATCCACAACATCTAGGTGGGGCTGATAATTTGCAATTCTGCACAATTGGTAGATGCTGCTGGCACTACAGCTCTGAAAACCACAATTGCTGTGCTAAATTATCAGCATCAGAATAAAATCTTGGTGAATTCTTTATGTACTTATTTTCCAGAGTATTTGTCACAGTTATAGAACTCTAAGACTGTAGAAACATAGAAATTAATCAGATTTCGAAATAATGCTCACTTAGGGCTGAGCACTCGTGAGTCATTCATTCTCAGTACTTTGATCAGTTAGGAGTCTGCACTGAAGGCTGCCCACTACAAAAAGAAGCGCCTCTGATAAGGTTGAGAGCAGCACTAATCTATGTGTATAAACATAATTATTTCGAAGGCAATCTGCTTAGCAAAATAAAAGTATTAGGCTCCTTCTCTAGGTCCTATGACCTCCCCAATCATAAGTTTTGACCAGGTTTACAGTACCACAGGCATGAATTCCCTCCTGTGAAACAGGCCTCAAATCCAATCAGAAAACATACCTGCACCCAGACCGGCTCAAGATCAAGCCAATCAATAATTTTAGCATGGATGGGGGACAGGCTCATGAGACTCCACCTCTACCTGAGGGATGTGGCTGCTGGTAGGTTGCCCGTGTTCAAGCAGGCAGAACTAATTTAACTGGATGAGTTAGTAAAAAGAGGCTGTGGAAGTGGGTGGCATACATGTGGGGGATCCCACGGAGGAATGGAAGGGAAGTTGGAGGGGATATAATCAAGATACACTGTATGTATGTATGAAATCGTCAAATACGAAATTATATAATTATATATTGTTTTCCTGTTGAGGTGCTATTTCATTTTTTTCTCTCCCTCACTATTTCTCAGGAATAGCTTCCTAAAGACAATTCTCCAAAATACGCTTAATCCCTTAACATGCTCAATAAGCTGATGCTCATCCCAGCAAATTCTTCCAAATTTTGGATAATTAGTCTGCAACTACTGTCTAGGTGGTCTGGTCTCCATAATTCTAAAGTTTTAAAAATCTTCCCGTTAAAGTTTGTGAAGCCACTAGGGGGCGTCAGGTGCACGGGAATGGTTAGAAACTGGCATCTTGGGCTCGGTAGTTGGAAGCTCAAGACGCTCACTCTTCGGAACCAGAATTCAAAAAGCTGCTTTAATTCCTACTGGGCTAGGTTCCTCAATTAAATTTCTCTCTGATGTAAAGGAAGGTTTTCTCATAGGGACTATTTTAGGGCCATCGAAAGCAAGAAAGAGAAAGAAAGAAATGACTGTACTTGACAGTGGACCTTGAAACAAACACTGACACCTGATTACCCAAAGTGGTCCAAGGACCAGCCGAAGCACCACGGAGTCTAGTTCGAAGCTTAGGCCAAATACGAGGCTTCTGAGTGGAATCTCACATAGTAACACAATGCTCAAGTGAGTGGCTACCGGTGACAGTTCAGAGTCCCTGCCGCAGAATGCTAAGCCCCAACCCTCCTTTCAGTATAAACTATTTATAACTTCATTCTCCACCCGTGTATCAACTTCATCTCTGGAAAAACATAAATTCCCACTTCGCCTGATCTGTTAGAAATACGTGTTAAGACTTTTTAATTGGTAATGCATTTTTAAATTAGTTTCCCTGAGGCTATTCGTGAGATTATTAAAAATGCAATTGAAATGTACGGCTCATAGTTAGTGACAGGTGGCAAATCATCTCACGATTAAGAAATTCTAACAATCATAAGCTGGAGTAAATGGTGCCCAGATGACTTGTTCAGTCAGTTCAGGGAGGAAAAAATGATCCATAAATCCAGTCAGAAATACCAACTGGCAGCTCTGTGAAATAGAGTTCTTAACCTTTGCTTGCCTGTCTTAGACAGAGCCTCACAGTGACCCATTTCTCTGCTCTCAGATGATTGTCTTCCTTTGGAAAAATCAGAGACTGCGGGAGACAAAAGCCATCCTTTAAATCATCTTCTTTTCTCATGAACATACTTCTTTCCTCTTGAGCTGAATGTAACTTCAGCACTTCCTTGCCTAATGTGTTTCCTAATTAGCTTTAACATTAAAACCAGCTGCTACTGGTTTAAAAAAAAAACTTTTATAAAGCATTAGAAGATTAATTGACTCATTATGTAGAAACAAGAGGATATAAATTTAGGGGAGCTTTTTGTTTAACTTGGGTTATAAATTGCACCTCATTTTCTTTATTTATGTTTTTCCCTGCCCACTATGTCTCCCTTAACTAAGGGCTTTTTGTTTTAGTCTTACAAATGATGATTTCTTTGTTTCTCCAAAGTGAAATCAGTTCAGCATCTAGATTCTGGCTGCTGAGTTGAGATGAAAGTTAACGTTGGCAAAGCTTCTTGTATAGTCTCTGCCTGTCACACAAGAGGCCTGCTTAAAGGTCAGAAGGGCCTGGTCATATTCCTACTATTAACTAGCTTGGAATTTTACACAAGTGTTCTTATTTCTGAACCTAAGTTCTTTAAGCAGTCAGTTGGAGCTAAAAGTATCTAGCTAAAGTAGTGCTTATAAAGATGATGTAATACGTTACGTGA